TAACGCAAAACATGGGAAAATTGCTCATATTTTTGAATATTATCTTGGTTGTTGCTGTGTCGTCCTCCTCTATGGCGACTACGATAATAACATCGACAAATCATTATGCATTTTCGGAAGCTAATAGTTATTTTTACTCTCCAACTTTCATATTTGCAGTGTATCGTGAGCGTATATTAGCATAATGAAAACTGAAGTTTAATTACACTGTACAATGGTAAAGACCCCAACTAGGGACCGACAAGTTGAATGAAGCATTAGCCAGACAACATTCTAGTTTCATGCTTTGGATTGGTAGCTATTGACTTATTTTCAAGTTGGCAATTGTGCATAAGAAAAATAACTACAATACTTAAAAAAATGTTGAATGGACCCAATGGTTTTTATAAAATCTGATCTCTGAGCGATTATCTCAAGTGATTAGCAAACTGGTCCAAAGGATTTTATCGATACCACCCCTATATATTTGAGCTTGCTTATGGTCCCGATTCCCTTTTAATCGATTTCCTACTGATCAATTTTCTGGTGACCAAACACCCCACTACAATCCTCCCTCGACTGGTTAAAAACAGCTTGCTCCATCTGTGGTTGCAGAAATAACTACACTCATTACAGAATGTATCTCGAAGGGTGTAATTTTACACATAAATATTTAGTGATAAGAGCATTTCTTATTTAGCCAATCACGCATGATGTGGGTTACTTTTCATACATTTTATATTCCAACATAAACATATTGTAGGCTTTGCCTGAATACATGATGGATATAGTTTACTGAGAGGATGAGGACATCAGTATGCCCACGTCCAGCTGGAACAACATTTTAAAATTCCAAGTATTTGCATCAAATTGTAAGTCAATGTCAGTCCTACTTTCATTTGCATTTTAGTCCAGATGTTTTGACTAAAACCCTTGACTGAGAAGACGAGGGGATCCTCAGTTTTGATAGTCGATGATAGAGTAAATCATTCGGCATGCCCAGTATTTTGTGCTGGACAGGGTTCTCCCACAGAAGGTTGCTTGCAGGAAAGCAAACATTTTCATGTGTTGCAAGGACATGCAGTATGAACGCGGGTGTTACACGCGCACGACGCAGTTGAGGGGTCTCTCAAATTTCCGAGCTGCCAGTTTATGAAACACCGCCCGCCCTTTTGTGCTTTTAATCAAACGTAATAAAGTAAAATTTTGTATTTCACTGTCACTTGTGTCATGACACGGGAACCAAAGTCAAATAACATGCCCTGTAAAAAAACCTGGAAACAGCACCAGAAGGACACAACTGCCCAGGGCAGAATCAGGTTGTGTGTAGAAACGAACAGGACAGACAGACAGTACAAGAGAAAGAGGACGCATGTCGGAGAGCATAAACCTGAAACTCTTATTTGCTGGCAATTTCAAAACCTAGTTTCAAAGGACCTGCCTTTACTGCCGTTGTTGCCTGCAAGATGTTATTATTTACTACAATGCCTGAAATCGATTGATGAGTGTGTATGTTGATGACTTGGTCTCAAGTTGGAGTAATTTTTTCATTACCTTAAAAGTAACTTGTAACTAATCTACCTTCTCGGTCTTCTCCACTCACTCAACCCAACTCCATTTTTCCTGAACCAGAAGGCTCCTTTTATGAAGACCGACCGCCATAGGTGTGGATCTAGCACAGACCTGCTTCGCAGATCCATCCGAAGCCTCTCATCAGGCCAGCGAGACGGGAGATATTCAAAAACAAAGCTGAACAAACCTTGCTTTGAACAATGGGCGACATTCCGAAATGCTGACATTCGTAAGCTCAAATAGTATACTTTTTTGGAACAAAATACACACACACACACCACCACACACACACACATCACACACACACCACACACACACGACCATCCCGACATCCTAC